CGTGCTCGTGCTCGAAAACTTAATCATCAAGTGAGTTCCTTCTTGAGCTCTTGTTCATCCTGTTTAGATCTTGGAGACACGTGCACTCTTGTTTTGATTAGGAATCAAGGAGAAGACGAAAAGGGAAAAGGACTCGCGTGAGGCTGGATTCGGACTGCAGCACACCTCCAATCTGGCGACGGTCTCCACGGTTACATACGGAGTCGGATTGGGGTGATTCTGGACTTGTTGGAAAGCTAATAAAGTCTACTTTCATACGGATCTGACCTCGTACTCATACCTGCTCAGAAGCGGCGTCAACAGTCCAAAAATCACCGAGAGGTCTATTCTGTCCGTGGGTGCTGCGCCACCTTAAGTTAGCCCAATGGACTTGTATCGTTTAGAGTCCAAGAGGGACGCATCCTAGGGTTGGAGCACGACCCAAACTCTCTTGTGGTCGTCCTCCACATGTCATATACCCCTTAGCCGCCACCAGAACACTTGGGTTTTGTTTAGATCAAGTTTAGCCATCGCTACTTGCTTTGTAGGCTGCGTCTTTGATCCAAATCGCCCGCCTCCTTGTCTTCGGAACCCCACTCATAATAAGATTCAGTGTGAAACCTTCAATTTTATCTTGCAATTTCAGTGCTTGTTTCCTCGTTCTTGCTAGTTCTTCGATTGCTTGCAGGACGGGAGCCCTAGGGGCTGGTTGTCGTGCTCCACAAGATCGTGACGGCCTTGGGAAGTGGTGTATCGGTCGCTAAGGCGCGGTCTTGGAAGGCTGTAGTCGGGCCGTGAACGTCATCTCCATCCACCAATCGAGTTATCTCACGCCTCTCATCGAAACATCGACCACAAACCCTTGCGGGTTCATATCACTTTTTATCTTTGTCCTTGAGATTGGCTTGAGTGTGTGTGTCACACTATCCAATATTTATCATATCTTACCCCTATTATGAACTTTGGTCTATTATACAGTCATATTATCTTGACCATATCCCTACTAGAGACTTTTACACCATTCCTTCCTTTGGAAAATTATAAATGAACGATACCTGAATACTTCTGGTTGAAATGCTACAAAGATATATTCGTGCGCTTGCGGAATATTTTTGCATGTGTTCAAAAATATTGTCACGGTGTTTCTGGTTCCATTGCTAGGAAACACCAATCCTATTGATTGCGCTAAGAAACGCCAACAAGCATTTCTGGCGCCGTTGCTAGGTATGAACTTAAAAACTCAATACTTGGTAATTGCATTTAGAAATGCCAACAACGATCTCTGGCGTCGGGCTGATGCAGTGAAGCTGATGCTATAGATGTACATGGTGAAGCGCGGGTTCCAAGCCCAGGGTGTCTTTTGAGCCCATACAAGGACTTCTATTAGAGGTAGACGTTGTCAGATGTTGCAGGGTCGACAAAGCCTGTCAACTGCTGAGAGTTGACGGTCTGCTCTAGCTGGTCATGGAGGAAGGCGTCCTCATGTCCAGCTGATGAATGGGCCACACACACGATGCAGCGAGGCTGAGGATGGTGCCAATCATTGCCGTTTTGATAACCTGGCTAAACGTCTCATCATAGTTGACGTTGACCTACTGGGAGAAGCCACGAATGACCCAACGTGCCTTGTTTCTGGCCAGGGAGCCATCGCAATGGAACTTGTGCTTGTACGGCCACTTTCCCATGATGGCATTCGCACCGAGAGGATGTTATTATCGATGAGGGTGTTGCACTCCACCATTGTAGCTCGACAATTGGGGATGACGAGGGTGCTACGATAGCTGGAGGCTCGCCTATAGGTGAAGTGTTAGCAGGAGGCCTGTTTGTAGACGTAGGGGTGCCTAGCGACACGTGGTGAGGGCCAGCATAGATGACCGTCGGGTCCTGGAGGTCCGGCTACTCAATCTCGCCAGTAGAGGGAACAACCGAAAGAGCATCTGCGCTCAATGCTCGAAGGCAGAGCTTTTGACGGTGGAGAGAGGCCCTATATCAAAAAATCCATTGACGATGACACAAAGGCCACTGAGGGTGCCATAGTAAATGGAAACACAGACTCATCCAAGATGGCATGGCGTGAGACAATAATGTGCCGAGTGGACATGTCTAGGCAGCGATACCCTTTGTGAGTGGAGGGGTATCCAAGAAACATGCACGGAGTCAAGCGAGGAGAGAGTTTGTGGGGCGTCATGGCACTAAGGTTCAGATATCAGAGGTAGCCGAACACACGAAGAGAGGAGTAATCCAGGAGCTTTTGATGCTGGAGGTGGTAGGGAATGCTGTGATCTATGGATGAAGAAGGGCGCCTATTAAGTAAGAATATGGCAGTAGCAAGGGCTTTAGCCCAATAGGGTGGGAGACAAGGACGCATGGAGCAGTAGGGTGTGAACTATGTTGTTGATTGTGCAGAGCATGCATTTAGTTTTGCCATTTTGTGGAGAGGTGTAGGGACACGAAAGATGCAAGGCAATGTCATGTCTTGATAGGAATGCGATAGTGGCATTGTTTACGAATTCAGTGTTGTATCAGCTTGGAAGGACTTCAGAATGATCCTAAACTGCATGTGGGCATAAGCAATAAGCTCAACAATATGGTGATGCACATCAGATTTGTGGTGTAAGCGAAAAGACTAGCAAAAATGGGAGTAATCATCAAGCAACACCAGATAATATTTGAAACCTGAAGTACTGAGCACCGGAGATTACATAATTCACACTGAATTAAAGCAAGGAGCAATAGTGACAAAAAGTGGAACTACTAAAGGGGAGCCATGTGTTTGCTAAGCTGGCAGGCATGACTTATAATTCACAGGGTGGAAGGACCAGGATAGCCGAGGCGGTGGTGCTAGAGCGTGGACAAAGTGGCAACGCTACAACTGTAGGGTGGCGATGGAGAAATGGTATAGAGGTCCCCGCTAGTATTGCAACAAAGAATCGCACACCCCGTCTGCTGGTCCTTAATAGAAAAACCCAAAGCGTCAAACTTAAAAGAACAGGAATTGTCGCGAGTCAACTAGCGATCAAAAAGAAGATTCTGAGGGAGCCCCAATTGTACTAACCGAATGTGAGAATGAGGATCGGCTTATGTGCTCCTTGTTTGAATGAAGGTCCTGACTCTATCTTTCTAGCTGTTAAGGTATAGTGGTCAACGGTATTAATGTAATCTCCTAGTCTAGGGTTTTCCTCTTGTGTCTGCTATGTACTCTATATATAGTCTCTATTGGGCCTCAATGTTATTTTCCAGTTGAGTCTCTTTATTCATAACAATGTACCAAAGCTCTAGGTTTAGATCCAGCCACCACCCTCCCCGCTGTGCTCCCCCAAGAGAATCTATCTCGACTCCCGGCGGCAGCCTAGTCCTCGTCCATTTTTCCCCTCCTCGCATGGATCTTCAGCATTTTGCCATTAGTGTTGCCCATAGTCCTCCCTTCGCGGACCGCCCAGTCGGGCAGATTCCCTGTCCGTGACTTCGGTCATCTGTGTCAAGTCCATACATCATCTGCATGCGGTGTGCCATCCGTGTCCTTCGACGTCCATCCGTACCTCGTCGACGTCCACAGCCGCTCTGGCGCCGTCACCCATCGCGTGTCCGCTCAAGCGTGAGCCCGCTCGCGTGGCCCATCGTGACATCTGTCCATGCTATCCGCCTCCAAGACCGTGCGTCCTTCATCCATGTGGATTGTCGCGATTCCTCATCCGTGCCCACCCGCGGTCATATCGAGCCATTGCTCGCCCGTCCACGACACTGTATTTTCTGGTCAAGCGAACGTTCGTGTGGCCCTCCTCGTCCACGCGTCTCCTGCCACGGCATCTTCCGTGGCCGCCGCCTCCGTCCACCCATCTGAGGACTTGTCTACCCGGCCTGCCGTCTTCAAGCACGGAGAGCTCGCACGGTCGTGCGACTCCTCGTCCACCCTAACCTGTCTACAGACTCATCGTGGAAGTCGCCTAACGGCCTTAGCCACTCGTCGTGGCCTACAGTCCGCAATCGTGGCCCTAGTTTGTTGTGTGCTGCAGTGGTCCTCTGGGTGCCCTCTGCTCTGTTCTGCTGGGTGCAAATGGTCTCCAATCTTATGCTGCTAGTATATTGAGGCATATCTTCCATTGCATTTGTTGCATTTGTGTCCATCCAAGCCCAATCCACAAATTTTGTCAGATCAACCAATTGTTTTGCTTTGGTTAGCAGAGTCCTGTCGATTTAGCTAATCATCATCATTGATGCGACATCTTGGTCTCTTTCGTAGCCATTTTGCTACACTTCTTCATCAATGATCATTTATTTGTTGTCATCACCATTCTATCCTACTGTGTGCCGGCACTTCCTTTGGTTTGATTTGACACACCTCTATTCTCGTCGAGTTCAAAGTCTCCAAAGCAAAGGTTCATATTTGAAGAGTTGAAGTATTGTTTCATGAAGACTTGAGGTATTTGCTGAAGTACGGGTTGTGAAGGCAGTACCCTCTTGTGGAGGAGATCATTTTCTACATCGACATTGTTCTAGGTCGAGTTGCACGCTTCGATGACATCTATTTTGGATTTTGGATGTAATTCTTCTCTATTAGCCAGTTGAGTCTGTCTTTATTCATAACAGTAGCTAGGGAGCTAAAAGTTTGTTTCTTGGGAAGAAAATTCCCAAGCCTTTGTATCGAGCTTTCATATTTTTAATATATTTGGGTCTTTATTTAAAAAAAAACATACTCAAATCATATTTGGTCAGCAAACAAGAAAATCAAAATAGTCGTTTTGCACTCATAATGGACGGCACTCAAATCTGAGTTCATATAAATAGGAAGAAAAGAGAACAAAGCCTTAAATGTATTAAGTCCTCATAGTGATAAAATGGCAAAGTTCATGTAGTTGTTAAACATCAAATTGCTAAATAATATTATAGACACTGAGATATATGCGGACAAGCAAATTGATGATGTCGCTTCGTCACATCTCAACAACCATATATAAGTAATCCAAATAGACTAAAGACCATTTGATATTTTCCAATTAGTCATGGAATACACGTTTACCATCTCACATAAGGATTTCCAAGTTTAAAGATACCTTTGCCTCAGGGAGGGTAGTCAAACCACGATCATTTCTCTCATCTAACAGGCCACCTCCCATCATATTCCGAGCTTCTTCTCTTACTATAACTAGTCTTGCAAGAAGTTTTCGATCAGGAATGGTGTCCCTAGATTCCATTGACTGTAATAATAACCAAGACATTAGAAGATTCATGAAAATTCTTCAACATGAAAACAACAATAATTAACTACTACAAGCAGGTCTTTTTGAATAGTTATCAGCCTACTCTTATCATCTCCAAGAAGCAAAGCGATATGGAATGATCTTCACCTCTCTAGCATCTTGTCTCTGTTCCATTTGGGATTTTCAAATATCCTTTGGGCTTTGCAATTCTAACTAGGCATACCAGCACTCTAGGTGTGATCATCTCTTTTAAGCAGTGTGAGATAAAATTATAAAATAGTGACGCAGCCCTAGCATTCTATATTTGTAAGTTGAAGTTGTTTAGAACACACTGGTAACACAGTCCACATGTTTCCTATGACTAGAGGGGAATTTTAGTGTTTGGTTGACAAGTAGCACAATTTGTCCCTCCCTCCAGAAATAAAAGACCGGGCATTCAATGAATTCTTAGAAGCAGCAAGAATGAATCACTCAAGAAAATTCAATTTCCAATAATAGTACTGTGGGCATTTTCAGATGATGCAAAATATGCAAGGAAAAACTCTATATATAACCCCCTGATGTTTGACTTGGTGTCTACTTCACCAACTGAACTATAAAACCATGTATTCTGCACCACAAACATCTCCTAACCGTGTATATAACCCCTTGATGAGATGGTTTTTGACCCTGGTTTTGCCGACGTGGTGGCCCATGAGTGCACATTGACACCTTGGAGCATTAGGCATTTGTGGCCCTGGCGCCACACCCGGCCAATGGGGCTGCCCCAGGCGTCGTCGGGTGCCTCATGGGCCTGGAGTCCTGGCCTGTCATGTCGCATTGCGGAGACTGTGGAAGTATCTACGCCTGTCCCGATGGTGAGAAGCCGAGAGTAGGGAGGACGAGGGTGACAACCATTGTAGCACCGGCCCTGTGCCATTTCAACATCACGTGACTGTTGACCCTCGATTTCCCTACACATGTGAGCAGCTAGCTCACCAACACACTCACACACACCATGGCTAAGAGGTAGAAGAAAGGGATGAGAACAGAGCACAAGCACTTGCTATAAACTAATTGTGTGGCAAACTGAGCTGGTTTGATCTATTGCAATCGCTTAGTATATATACAAGTTTAGTGCTCTATTGCAATCCCTTAGTATATATACAAGTTTAGTACCTCTATAAGGTACACTAGAGTATGGCTGACCTCAGCCCAACTACTCTCTACATGGCTGACGTATGCCACTACCATATTGGCCTATTTCCATACTTCTAATAGAGTAACAGTACATAAGGTACAAGAAGAGCTGACCACAGTGCCAACCCTCAGCTGCAGCAAAAGGCTAATCAAGGGCAGCAGATTATCTTACAATTCTTCCCCTAATCCTGCTACACCTAGACCCTGAGATTGAGTCCCACCATGCCAATCTTCTCCCATAGCTCAGAGAACCGAAGACGACCAAAGTGACTTGGTGAGAATGTTCGCGAGCTGTCGGCCGGTCTCAACAAACTCTAGGACGATCTGTCCTCCATCGACACAATCACAAAGGAAGTGATACTTGGTGTCGATATGCTTGCTTCAGTCGTCGGGTTCTTGGCGAGGGCGATGGCGGGCTGATTGTCTACCATCAGAGTTGGCAGACCCGCTTCCTCGCCGGTGAGCTTGTCCAACAGCCGGCGCAACCATACAACGTGGCACACCACTGTGGCCACTGCGATATACTATGACACGCACGTCAACAGCACCACCACCTTCTGCTTATGCGACTGCCAAGCGATCGAGCACCAGCCGAGGAAAACGAGCACGCTGGAGGTGCTCTTCCGCCTGTCGATGTCGCCTGCCATGTCCACATCGCTGAAGCCATTGAGTCACAACCCAATTCCACCAGCCTTAGGGAAGATCATGCCTAGGTCAATTGTCCACTTGATATAGCACAGGAGCCGCTTTGCCGCAGCTCAGTCATCCTCCCATGGATCCTCCATGAACCTGCTCACATAGCCCACGACGAACACAATGGCCGGCCACATGTGAACAAGATAGCGCAGCCCGCAGACGATGCTCTGGTAGCTTGTCACGTCTACATTTGCCACTGTGCTAGCCTTCGTCAGCTTCAGCTGCTCCTCCATCAGAGTCAAACACAGCATGCAATCTGCCATGCCACTCCGCTCTAGCAGCTTCTCTGTGTAAGTGGTCCGCACCTCGATGCCGAGGTAGTAGGAGAGCAAGCCGAGATCACTCATGCGGAATCGAGCCGCCATCTCATGCTTGAAGCCGTCAATGTCCTCTGCCCGCACTCCACTGATGATCAGATCATCCACGTACACGCCAACGATGAGCTCCTCCATCCCCCGTCATCGCATGTAGAGCGTGTGCTCTGTGGCGCATCTGGTGAACCCAAGCTTGCCTAGCATGGTATCTAGCTTGGCGATCCACACCCATGGGTCCTGCCACAGCCCGTAGAGGACCTTGCACAGCCGTAGCACCTTGTGTTCGTGTCCCTTGATGGCGAACACCAGAGCTTTCTTGGCGAAGACCGTCTGTGAGACCTCACCATTGAGGAAGGCGGACTCATGTCCATGTGATGGACACGCCAGTCCTTTGCTGCCGTTAGCATTAGCAGGAGGCGGACGGACTCCATTCGTGCCACCGGCATGAAGACTTCCTCGAAGTCAACTCCTTCACGCTGGACGAAGCCCCTGGCGACGAGCAGCGCCTTCTGCTTGGAAATGGCGCTGCACTCATCTTGCTTCACTTTGTACACCCATTCGAGCCCAATTGTCGGCACCCGAGAGGCAAATCCATGAGCTCCCAAGTCCCGTTGTCTCGATCACGTTCATCTCCTCAAGCATGGCCCGCTACCAATTCTGATAGCGTTTAGCTTCAGCGAATAAGGGTGGCTCCTCGACGCTCATTAGAAGCAACTCTTTATCATTGAGCATCCTGCTTGCCAAGCTAGGAGCTGCAGAGCCACCAACAAGGTTATCCATGGTGCAGAAATGCACCTCCTCGCCTTGGTGGTGCACGTCGACATACGAGTCCAAGTCACTAGTTGAAATAAGAACTAGACAAGGGTCAGCGTTGGTGTTCCCCTATCCCGCTAGAGTAGGGGACAGTGGTGGAGGTGTCTGTGCTACCGTCGGAGGAGTCTGCTCACCCGCGCCTGCCATGCCATAACTTGGTGGGCCATCTGGAATCGCCACTACCACTGAACTTGCCATGTACGTAGCTAGCTCCACTCCTCCTGCGTCCCTATCGCCATGGATGACCAAGTGCTCAACAACAAAGGTGCAGTTAAAACCACTGGCTTCCCCTATGCCCAGATCCCCCTCATCCCAGACCACCTTCTCGTCAACCACCACGTCGCCTGAGATGACAACCTTGCCTCCACGTGGGTCAAACAACCGATATGCCTTGCTACCAGCCTCATATGGTGCTCCTGTCTTCTAGCATGGTTAGGCGCAGCTTCGTCACCTTGATGTGGCCGATGCACCCGAACATAGAAATGAGATGCCAGGCTCCCTCCTATACCAACCTTCAAACACCATCATGCCCTTCAAGCTCTTCGTCAACGCGTGGTTGAGAATGAACACCGTCGTGCTCACTGCCTACCCCTAGAACTCCACCGGTATGCGCTTCGCCTTCATCATGCTGCACGACATGCCAATGATAGTCCGGTTCCGATGCTCCATGATGTCGTTCTGTTGTGGCGAGTATGGACGCGGTCAAATGGCGTGCCACGCCATGATCAGCGCAATACTCCATGAATTCTACTGAGGTGAACTCACCACCATGGTCTGTCCTCTGCACACGCTGCTTATTCCTAGACTTCGCCTCTACTCGAGCTTGGAAAGCCTTGATCGCCGCCGCCTCGTCCTTGCTCGTTAGGAGCTATACCCACATGAACCATCTGTAATCGTCGAAAAGTTGACAAGTAGCAGGAAGTACCACCATCCTCCATGCATGGCTAGAGTGATTGTCCCATAGAGATCGTCATGGATGAGCTCTAGTGCATCGTCGGTGTGGTACTTGGCCGCCTTGGGGAAAGACAGCCTCCTCTGCATACCCACCAAGCAACTGTCACACAGCTCACCGGCGTACTTGATGTGCGGCAGCTCGCGCACCATCTTCTCTAACTTTCCAAGTGCATCGAAGCTTAGGTGTCCTAACCGAGCGTGCTATAGCCATGGCTCCTCGTTCTGCCATGCCTCCAAGCAAACTGGCTACACGATCTTCAGATCCAACATGTACAGATGGTTTCTAAGATGACACTCAGTCGCGGATGCCTAGATCACCACTGTTGATGAGGACCTCACACCCACGCTCATCCAACTGCCCAATGCTAACAATGCTTAATTGGAGCTTTGGGATGTAGTACACATCCATCTGCGTGCGATGCTCCTCATTCTGACACCGAAAGATGATGGTGTCGAGGCCGTGGATGTCCAATGACAAGCCGCTGTAGAACTTCATGGAGCCGAGAACACTACCATCTAGCTCCGAGAACGTGCCCTTGTCATAGGTCATGTGGTTGCTGGCCAAGTACCACCTCTGCTCCATGCTGCTACCCTTGCTTCTGATATGGACTTGGGTGCGTGACTCGTCGAGGAGGATGCTCTGCTTCACCTTCCTCTGCTCTGTAGCCCTCAGCTCCTCTCTCGACACTAGCTCCTCCTCGGCGTCGTTTAGCGCATAGAACTACACCATTAGGAGCGTGGGCTCCTCGTCGTCCACCTACACGAGGTGCGCCTGCTCCTCCTTGGGATTCTTACAATCCCTAGCCTAATGCCCTGTCTTCCCACACTGTCGACAAGTATCCGTGTTGATCAGACGCAACGTGTTGTCACCGTCCTTCTGCGGGGTCTTGCCGCGGCACTTCCCATCACCACCACAGTTGGAGGAGCCTTCCTTGAACCACTGCTCATGCATACCACTCCTCTATCAGCAGCAAGTTGCCACTAGCAATCATTCTCACTATCTCAGTCCTCGACCACCATTAGCCGCCTTGTCACATCCTT